TCACTGCCCCCTCCATCCAACTCCATAGGAAATTATCTCTCCCCTCTCCTTCCACCTTCCACCCCCCCTTCCCCACACACACACACACACACTTCCCTCCCTTCATCACTCCCTTCTCCCATCTAGCGTCATGTCCTTTTCTCCCTCCTCCTGTCCATTTAATTCCTTGCGATTTCCATTACTCATTCATCATTTAGGTTTTACAGTCCCCCTGCCCACCTCCACCTCCGCTGCAGCACCACCTCTCCAACATGGCTCCTATAGAGATGGTAATGTGACAAGAGGATGATATCTGCAAGCCGTTGGTCAGCATCAAATGAGACACACTTAGATACTCCCCCTCCTCCTTCCATTTCTTCTCAGCTCAACAACTGTAGCCAAAATTCCTTGAAGCGGTGGTGTGTGGTGGCCCTTGATGTCTTGACTCCAGCCTCAGTCCATTCCTTGTGAAGTTCACCCAAATTTTTGAATCGATTTTGCTTGAGAAGCCTCTCAAGGCTGCGGTTCTCTCGGTTGGTTGTGCATCTTTTTCCTACCACTCAACTTTCTGTTAACATGCTTGGATACCTGGACAACTGTCAGATCAGCAGTCTTCCCCATGATTGTGTAGCCTAGTGAACCAAACTGAGTGACCATTTTGAAGGCTCAGGACACCTTTGCAGGTGTTTTGAGTTGACTAGCTGAGTGGCATGTCACCATATTCTAATTTATTGAGACAGTGAATTGGTGGGTTTTTGTTAAATGTGAGCAAAATCATCACAATTAAAAGACCCAGCGGCTTAAACTACTTCAGTCAGTGTGTACTGAATTTATATAATACACAAGTTTCACCATTTGAGTTGAATTACCGTAATAAATGGACTTTTCCACAATGTTCTAATTTATTGAGATGCACCTGTATATTTCTGCTATAAGTTCTTTGTATTGCGCTTTGTGCTGTGTGCAGATAAATACATTTTAAACTCAGAATTTTTTTTGGTAAGGGAAAAAACCTTTCATGTCCCTGGATGTTTTTGCAGTGAATTGAACGGACCTTTTTCTATCTCTGTGTCTGACTGGTTTCAATTCCAGGAGGTTCTTCAAAGAGATGAGGGGAAACGCCCTGGACAAGAAATCCAACTACGAACTACTAGAGTAAGTACTTACTTCTACATACCAAAGTGGCACATGATCAGTTATCCTTAAAGCTCATAAATTTTTCTTGATTAATATAAGACTGGCTGCTTTGTCTCTGTTTGTCTCTTTGTTTGCTCCATGTGTTGTTGTTTAAAAATGAAGCTACTCCCTCCTACATGGATGTCGATGAATCACATTAACAAACTCTGGCCCTAACGACACTTGGCTCCAATATGGTCTGATTCCAATGAGCTGCCCCTTTCCAGTGAAGTCTTTCTTTCTGTCCATCAGCCTAACGAGATGTCCAATTAACTGAGAAGAATGCCCATTTTCTTTCCATCGATATCTCTGTCTCTCTTTTTCATTCTCTCTTTCTCTCTCTCTTCTCCGTGTGCTCATCGTGTTTTTCTCCGTCTGTCTGTCACAACCTCTCTCTGTTAATTGGAAAAATATGTTGCATCATGCATATTTTAAACCAGCAAGAGAGAGCGAGGAAAAGTGCTTTGGGCTTTCGATACACCAAGCTAAAGGGTGGGCATCGGAGGCTGCTGGGCATTTTTGGAACATTCATGGCCAAAAATCACCTAAATATTTTGATTAGTGTCTGACACTGTTGACTCTAGTTGGCCCTTTTCCACAAAGTGGAAGTGAAGAAAATTAGCAAGAGACTTGTTTGTTCAACTTAACATGTCAGTTATGTTTCACCTCTGCTATAACTTTTCTTATTTCAATAGCAAGAAAAAGTAACAGCACTGTTTGCATTTTTCTGGTTTTCTGCATAAATTGATCATGAAATGTGATCTGATCTTCACCAAAGTCACAAATATCAACACTACTTATAAGCTGATAAAACACAAACAGAAAACCAGGAAATTGCAAACAGTGTCATTACTTTTTCTTGCTACTATATATTTTTTTATATAGCCACATAACGTGTTCCTGTTGGAGATCAGCTGGTTGTAGTTGGCAGTAGACCTTGTGGTTTGTGAGTTAATACAAAGCATTTAATCAGTGGGCCTTTGTCTGCGCTCGCTCTCTGAGGTCTGCGAGATGTCTCATCTCTCAGAGTCTGTAATTCATCTGCTTGTGCTTCTGATTCCTAGCTTTAATTTAAGTTTGAATGTTGACTAACTTTAGTCAGAAATGACAGGCAACAGGTTTTATGAAGTAAGCTTTTCATAGACTGGATGATGGACAGTCCCAAGCCAAATAATATTAATTATTTCTGTTTTTAACAGTCCCAGGTTTCTGAAAATGCAGACAACCACGGAGCAGCATCTATATGTAATATTACATTTTTATGTCATCCACAACCTATTGAACACCATCTGAATTGCTCTTAAACCAATGTTTATATAATAGCCTAATAATGTGAGACTGGTATTTGACCTGCTGAAGACTATAGAGGAAGAAAGGATGATGTCAGCCTTCAACCTTTCCCTTACTCTCTTTTCTCTCCTCCTACCCCTGTATGCGTCTTTTCTCCAGAGGAGTTTGAGTCATTAGCTAGCTTTCCATTTTATCTATGTCTCTATGGTCTCCCTCCTTGTACTTACTTCTCTTTTCCTCTCCCTATATCTCTTTCTGCTTTTCCTCAGTCCCATCTTTTTGGAAAAGATGAGTAGTGCTCTGTAGTCAGCACTTAGTCATAGCTTTCTGTTACTGCTTTCTGGTACTTGTCTTCAGTTGCCCAACTGTATCAGACTGGAGTGGTTATTAACTTCTCAGCAGAGTAAGAAATAAGCTGCTGGGGTCAGATGAAGACAGAAGTGTTTGTCGATTAGCATTCGTCAGTGTAATTACAGCATAAAAAAACATTCTTCTGTTTCTCTCTGTGTCGCTCTTTACAGGAAAGATGTTGGATTGAGGCGTTTTTTCCCAAAAGAACTACTTGATTCAGTCAAGGTAAGAATGATAAGCTTTGAACTTACAGTACATGGAGCTCAAAGAGGAGGTGGGGTACACACAAAATATCGGGTCAAGTTGGAGTTTAAGAAATGGTGCAGAAAGTGGGTTTATGATTGAAACTTTAGTGTCCTGCTAGGGTGAGTAAGTGGTGCTCCCCCCCACACTCAGCAGCTGCTGTCATAGTGCCCCATCTGCTCCGCTGGAGTTGCTCAGTTATCAAAAGAAGCCAAAATGTGTGGCTTTATGAGCAGCTTAGAGTCAGCGAAGGCTCCTCTGAGTTGGTTTTTTTGAATGTGTCTCTGGGCTGTCTTGCGCAGCGCAAAGCACTAAGATTGAAATGATATCATGGCTCACTAGCTGAATGGAGATGACTAAGAAAATGAACAGGAAAATAAGACACTGGTTCTGTCCAAAGGAAACATGATTCCTCTACCAGCACCTCAAAAAGCTGAATAATTTTCATGTTATATCTCAGCTGTGTGTGGTTGCCTAATAAACAGTTTCTGTGTCAGTGATAAATTTACGGCACGCGTTTATGGGGATGGTCTTGGTGTCTGCGTTTGTTAGTCTGTGTGTGTTGAAGAAAGGCCCAGTGACCCGAAAAGGTCTTGATGTCAGCAGGCGGTAGACAGATGCTCTGCAGAGGAAGAGTAACTGTTTGTGTTGTATGTGTGTGACCCTCAGGTCATGTTTAAACCCACTTTTTCTGTCCAACAATGAGGAGGGCGGAGGAGGCCACAATGTGCATCTCCTTCTGGGGTCCAACCTTCCTGTCTGTCAGGTCTTCTCCTCTCATCAGCTGCCCTGCTACCTGTTTTAGCTCCTCTTCTTTTTTTGTATTTTCTGCTCCTTTGGCAGACGTGACAACATACACTCCACTGAGACCTTTTTATAAATCGTGAAGATGGACACAGTGACACACATGTGCGGTCAAACAGCCATAAACTGGAAAATCTGACTTGATTGGACTGATGTTGTAATGAAGTATAATTTAGACAAAAGAGAATGTGTTGAAGTATTAGATTTTCATATTCAGTAAAATTACTTGTTGAAGAACTTAAATAATTATGTCATTAAACATAATACAGATTGTGTCCATTTTACAGATGTAAATTGAATATCTTTAGAATTTAGATTGTTTGTCAGACAGAAAAGCGATTTGACTACTCTCACGTCGTGCTTTATGAAAATGTGAAGGGGATATATTTTTTCTTTCACTTTGTGCATTTAAACAGTTATTCAGTTCATCAAATAATAATTAACTGATTATCCACAGTAAAGATAATCATTAGCTGCAGTTCTGATGAGTTGGTTAGATCTGCCTTTGAGTAAACAAATGATAAGTCTGACAGGTCTGCTGCTTTTTCTGTGGCACACAGAGTTGTGGTTGAGAGAGAGAGAGAGAGAGGGAGGACAGGGCACAGCTGTCATTTATGTTTTTGTTGTTCACTCTGGTGAAAGAGAATGGTAGTCATTTAATGGGATTATTCACCCTCAATAGACTCCTTTTCCACACACACACACACACACACACACACACACTCAAACCCCACAGCAGATGGCTGTTTTAGTACACAGCGGCTGATGTTGTTATAAAGAGCAAAGTCTGTTCATTCATATTGACTGGCTGGGCAGCAGGTTTAGTAACGATGACCTTTAGTTTGATCAACCAGTTCCAGCTTGAGCCAAGGACTCTGTTTCCACTCATCAGATTGATAACTTGCTGAACTGTATTGTACTACGCTTCTACAATTTCTAACAGTGGATCTAGAAAGTGTGCAGTACAGGTCTCTTATAAGACACCACTGGCTCACTGGAATTAATGACTCAATAATAGAAAAATAATAATTTAGTCTTTCATCAGCAAGAGGCTAGTGATAATATATATGGAATGAAACCAGCAGGTCCACAGTTTGATAATGTTATGGAATGAAACCAGCAGGTCCACAGTTAGTGTAGCCTTTGATAATGTTAATGAATTTTAGAGGAGCTGAATTTAATGAGGTTTAGTTTGATTCATTCATTTTGTCTAGGAGAATTAGATGTATCACAACATTTAAGTCAGTGAAAATGTTTTTACTGTTTCCACCCAGAACAAGACCTGTTGATGTTTTAACAACTTCCCTTCTTTCTCTGCCTAACCACACCTAAAAACATTTTCTTTTTTGTAATAAAGTAAATGTAACAATTTGAAATGACACTAAAGGTTTTTACCAGGCTAGGGCACTACAATGCAAAGAATAGTCAGACTGTTTTGCAGTAATTACGGCAACATACTGAGACAAAACTAGGATCAAGACTTGACTTTACCTCCTCTCACTACTGGTACAAATCACTGCTAAAGAAATGCAGAGACATAACACACACAGCCACTACTGTTCTGCTGTAAACAGACAGATGGATATTACTAAAGTTATACAATAGAATACTGCAGGTATTGTGACTGGTCAGTACAGTGACTTACTGTAATTGTTCAGCCCTGTTGCTATAGCACTGGTCAGCACGGTGATAAGGGGGTGATAGCTGCTCGCTGTACTTCCTCCCAGGAAAGGCGGACACTTCAGATTGACAATGTCCCTGTGTGTTTACACATATGTGTGGTGGAATTCTAGGAATTAAAACAATGAGCCCATCAAGAGTACAAACAACAAACATGAGCGCACACATTGTGTAATCATACGTGTGCCACGATATCTGTGGAAATAAATACACATACTGTACCTTTACACATACCTTTCTTGATTTCTTCAGGCTTAATAAGTTAAATTAGCAGCTTGCAACAGGGCTCTGTAAATAGGTATAGAAATTAGTATTTTCATTTGCAAATAAATGATATAAAATAACAATAGATATAGTGGGTGAGCCCAATAGATAATAGAAAAAAGACAACTGTTACTATATGAATTATTCTGTCCTCAAAAATGTTATTGGATGAGTCCAGACAAGGGGGTTATATACACTGCCCTGTACTGTACTGCACTGTCTTAAGATCATTTTAGAGCGTCATTAGACCCACCTGAGTCAATTCCTTGTGTCCCAGCTACATTTGTAGTCAGTAAATCAATACAAATGATGTATAGTGATTAGAATCTTGGTAGTAAATGTAGTTGTTAAACTAGTTGTCTACTTTGTGCAGAATGACTTTAATGTACTGCACCAGTCTGCATGTTTTTAAAGCTTGCTTAGTATTGCAGTAAATCTCCACTAATCTTATCTTAATTTATATATGGAGAGCTACTTATAGATCACTTTATTACAGTATAGATGAACGGGCAACAGAACTGAGTGGTAACAAACAGTATGAATGTGTCTCTGTTAAGACATTGACCTGAACTAAGCATGTCTCTGGAGTGAAGTGATGGTGTCAGTTTGAACCAGTGAACAGTCAGTGTCTTCCTCTCTTACTGTCTCAGTCACTCTGTACCCACACAAAAACACACATGTATCTCATTTCTCCTGCACATCCTTCTCCCATTTACAGATAACATTTGAAATGAAAGTCAGGTCTTGATAGTATTATTACTACTATTTAAAGTCTTAAATTCTCACTTTGTCTTCTTTCTAGGCTAAGACTCTTCGTAAGTTGATTCAGCAAACATTTAAGCAGGTAGCCAATCTGAACGACGAGCAGTGCATCCTGAAGTTCTTGGAGATACTTGGGCCAATCTACCGCTATGACAAGGAGTGCTTCAAATGTGCCCTTGGGGTAGGTTTTTTTCATTCTTGCCTCCACTTTACTGTCCTGATGCAGTCTGAAAGCTCTGGTGAGTTGTGTTACGTTGACCCCTTCTGGTGAATTGAGGTCTTGCATGAATCCACGTTGTGATGTGAGTGTGCCTTAACCTTTTTTTCTGATTGTGTTCTAAGTGAATAAATGAACAAAACTTTCATATATTTTCTCCACTTCTCTCACCTGCTTATTCTCTGTCTTCTTTTTCAACTCTCTCTTATTTCTCTCTCAACAGTCCAGCTGGGTGATCCAGGTGGAGTTGGCTATTGGGCCAGAGGAAGGGATCAGCTACCTCACTGACAAGGGATCCACAGTGAGTTTCTTCTAAAAACACATTGTATATAACACAAGCAGCTCAACCACAGATCACAACTGATGATGTTGCTCTGCATCATAAAATATAGAAATGCACTGATTGCAATTTTCTTTGCCAATTCAGATTATGGTTAATTCCAGTTTTCTTTCTTAAAAACCAACCAATTCCGATCTCCAGACAATCTATCGGTGTATCTGTAATAAAATTATTTAAACCTAATATTTTACCAGCCACAATCTATAGCATTGATTTTAAGTGAAAGCACAGGCTTGACTCTTGAAATGAAGATAGATAGCAACATGGATATAACTTGTTCAGCATAATTAACAGGATTTTGTGTTGACTCTTTCTGTGTTTCTCTTTTTGACCCCAGCCTACGCATCTAGCTAACTTTAATCAAGTTCAGTCCATCCAGTACTCAGCTATGGAAGAGAAGGACAGGAAAGGCATGCTACAGCTCAATGTAGCTGGAGCTGCGGAGGTACTGCCAGCCTGTCTGTCTGTCTACCAAACTGTTTCTTTCTCTCTAAATATGTGGACTTACTATATCCAGGCAGTGTACATGTTTTACATGTTGTTACAGATTGAGTTGTAGTTGTAGAAACCCAAAGATGTGATTTACCGACACATGGTAGCTAGCTAGCTGTATGTTTTTAATTCCATGTAGTTCCGTTCATGTTCCATGTGGAGAGTGGCCATTGTTTGTTTTATGCCTGTTGCTGCGGTGTACCCTTTCTCAGTTTCAATAAGAAAAGAGGTGGTTGTGAATCTAGTTGGTTTTCATAGTCAAAGACTCAGAGCTTAGCATAAAACACAACAGAAACAGTCAATGTTGTATCTCAGGCACTTTTGTTAACAAGTCTGCAAAGATGCAAGCTGTGTGCATTTGGCTCTGGTACTTTTATGATTATGTTGCTGGAAAATGTCAGTTTCTGCTGATAGATTGGTTTTTGCCCATGTAACTGTTAAGTATCAGTGCAAAGATGGTGAGTCTAAATCTAATCTAAGGGGCTCTTACTCTTGGATTTTGAGTTGCTGACACCAAAAGCATTTGGAGAATTCATGGTACACTAAGTCTCATTCTCTGGAGGCATTTAGTTATTGATATTTTATTGTCATGATGACCACTCTGGCATCAAGTGGACTCTACAGAACCACCATAAGCTGTGCCAGTTTTGGTGCACAGCTCTGTTATTGAGCCTTCTGTGTGTGACTGGGAGGAGCACAGATTAGCTAATGGTTTTCCATGTATAGATTTCGCATAGTAGTTCTACTCACAGAGGAAGGGTTTCCCACTGCTGTATGAGTTGAGTCTTTATGCTTTCATCGCATTGATAGCGCTAGATTTACACACACACTATGTGAGAGAAAGGAGGTTTTCTGTGATGTAAGGAGCAGCTATAAACCCCCACTGTGCTGGTATGTGTAATGTATGAGTCTCTACAGATAATGGCTTTTTGTAACTGGCTTGCCACTGTGTGTGTTTGTGTGTGTACACATGCTCAGCCTCTTACAGTAACAACAGCATCACTGACCATGGCGGAGAATTTGGCTGACTTGATTGATGGTTACTGTCGGCTTGTTTCCCTGGAAACTCACTCCTTCATTGTCAGAGTTCAGAAAGGTATGAATGTGCACTTTCCTACTTGAGCATTCAGGATCCTTGTTCTCTAAAGTGCACTATATTCAAGATGTTTCTTGGACATTGAAAAATGATAAGTTGTGTTATGAAAGTGCAATTTGACAATGAACAGTTACAGGAATTATGTTTATGTAGTTATTCTCCACACTAAGTTGTCATAATAATAATAATAATAATAGAGTTTATGAAGCTTTCTAAAGAATTACAAGTTTTACTTCACAACTGTCACAACTGGTGTTTAATATTATTATGTGAATTGTCTTCTCTGTAGTTTTTTTTTTTTTTTTTTCAACTTTACATTTATGCACCAAAAATGTTTTAATGTGTATTTAAACCATAGACAGGAGCTCTTGTGACATCTGTGTTTTAAGTGTTATATCTTCTACTCTTATTTCTGTAATTATTTGTGCGGTGCTCTTTTTGATAAATACTGTGGTACACTGAACAGCACTAGGCCCCTACTAGGGGCATGCCGATGGTATTCGTACGAGTTATGATGCTGTATTAAACATGTATTTTGTATGCCGAGCCTGTGGTTTGTATCCTTTGTACTGCCTGTAAGATCCTTTCTTCCATGTCTAAGGCGTCATAAAACATTATAAATTCCTTTATGTAGTCTTATGTATTTATTGTGCTTCATATTACACATTCTGATTCTGATGTTGTGTTTTGTCCTCTAGAGGGAGAGAGAGCACTGCCTTCCATCCCAAAGTAAGTGCCTGCTTTGTGCTTAGTATTGTTACAGTTCTCAGTTTACAGCCTTTTATCAGAGCTGTAATTTACCAGATTTGTTATATCCCATTGTGTAGATTGTATGTTGACTGTGAGGTAATGAAGATTCTGTGTTATAGGTTTAGATTCCAGGTTTGTTCAGTTTCTTTTTATAGACTCACTCATTTCTGAATAATTTTTCTGTTTTCAGGAGCAAGTGATGTAATTTGGCACAAAACTCAAGATAGTACCCAACTGTTAAACATCTAAGTAATTTACGTTAGTTGCTCGTGTGACACAGAGAGTCCTTTAGCAGCGCAGGTCTGCCGAACATACAGAAATGTGGAATTTGTCTACAGCCAACCACACAGTTTGTCTTAAATAAAGAATAAAGTTTTCAGTTGTAAATAATACATAAATGTTAATATAGATTTAAACAGGTTTTTACTATAAGGGAAATTTCATTTTTAATGCATGTATTTTGTACCAAACAACATTAGTTCTTTCCATGGAAAAAATAAAATAAATGAAAAGATTTGAAAAGATTTTTAGGGGAAACATTGTGACTTCAATGGAGAGCTCACTGTGTTGGCTTCTCTCTGACCGTTGCGGTCTGGACATTGGTGTGTCCACATTTCACTGTCAGTTGTTCAGAATCAAAAGCTTTGTGTTTACTTTTGGTCATCTCAATTTAAATCTCGCTCTCTTTTTTTTCTCTTCCTCTCTCTGACTGTCTCTGGTCAAATAAGGAGATAAGTTTGGGAGCCAAATATTTTCCACTTAGGGTTTTTAAACAGTGTGGTAGTCTCCTCCTCTTTCTTTTGGTCTCACACTCTGACTTTCTCTCATCGCTCTCTGCCTGTCATGGTTTGTGATGTAAAGACTGTAGTAGAGCTCAGCTGACACAGACACAGACAGAGCGCGGAACAACAGAGAGATATCTGACAGTGTGGGTTAGGTGCTGTTTCCATTGTAGAGAGCTGCATGTTAAGGACAGTTTAAACTTTTTAATGGCATCTTGCTAATATCTGTTGTGTTAAGGGGGCTTTAATTTAGTTGGGTAGATGTGTCTTGTTTTATCTGAGTGTTAACCTCTGTGACTGTTGTTTAATTTACTCTATTCTCTTTTTTTCCCTCTTCTATAGACTGTCTAATAATGAGAAAAAGTTGGAAGCAGTCAGGAGTGGAGTAAGAGCAATCTCTGTCTCAGGTAAGATCATGCACACACACTTACAAATCAAGTGGTTTAGGGGTGAAATGGACACAGTCAATTGGTTTCCCTGGCTACAACTACTGTCTATCTGTCGGTATGTCTAGTTCCTCCCCATCTTG